GTAGGAGGACAGGCATATCAGAACTCTTGGAGTTGCAGACTGAGAGATAACATTTCTTTCTAAGTATGTCAAACAATGTGATAGAGAAGGATCTGTCCCCCCACATTCCATTCAAAACATTTAAAGTATTTGCTAGGCTAAACATAAATGTTTCTACTCTTCCCAGGTTCCCCCTATAATCCTGGATGGAGCAATGCAAATCCAATTTTGTAGATACTATTATATGTTTAAAGCTCTCAATACCCAAGAAAATCTTGAATAGCTCTAAAAACAGCACTAAAATGGAGCAGTTCAAGGAGCACCAAGGTAGAGGTGAGCAGGGCAATCTCAGGCACGCATAAGTTGTAAAAGCCATGAGCTTCTTTATCTGCCACAAAGACATCTCCCTTAAATTTAAATAGCTGCTGTCATTGTCACTGACTACCTGACTATGTATTTATCTGCCCAGAAGCAGAGTGCATGGCCTTTGGCCCTGCTATTCATGGGGTTACTGTCTCTGCCTAACAATGCCGTGAACAGAGCTGGGCTGCTGTTAGCATCTTTTGTTTGATGTGAATTGCTGAAGCTTTGATGTTGTTTGTGAGAAATATAATGATTAAAAAGAATAAGATCTTCACTCTCCCACTGTCTGCTCCCCACAGAGAAATCTAATCTGAGTTGGGAAAAATCTGTGACTGATCCCGTCTTAGGTAGACACAAACGATGGAGTCCAGGAGAGAAATCTGTTAGTATTGAAAGTCTTAGCATCTCCTTACTGGAGGGTCAGAGAGGTAATTTGTCTTAATGATCAAAATTCTGTTTCCTGATACACAAACATCTATGTTCAAATAGGTATAGAATACTTTCTTTGTGTGGTGAACACAGCTGCCAGTGTAGCCATAGTGCTTTATTTTCAGTGGGATGCCTTAGATTTCTGCTTTAGTTACACATGCTTCCCCTTTATAGGTTATTCTTACAAAACAAGAGGGTGATTACTTCATACTAAAGCTACATTAGTGGATTTGAAATTCTCTACAGTTCAAAAAAAAGCATTTTCTTTATAAATTATTATTCTAATAAGCCTTGTTTCTCATCTGTACTGATAAATGCTTTTCTTACTGTCATTTTTGAATGAAGAGCAAATGTGATGCAGTAAAGCATAACCAAAGCCTCTAAACTCTGAGCTTCAATGTAAATGGATGACTGTTCTGCTACTCAAGGCAAAACCTCCCACTGTCACATAAAAATACTCTGATCAGTGATCACCACAGTAACAAAAAAGTAAATTCAATAAAATTATAATGTCCCAAGTGTAATAAAATGCAATAAAAAAAAATTGGGATGCTTTTATCTTTACAGACCTTTGATCCACAGTGTGAAGGAAATGGATTTGATTACTAAGGTATTTTGAATTGGCTTGATTCCTACATTGAGCAGCAGATAGGAGAGAAAGAAAGGGAGCAGAGGTGGCTTACCTTGTGCCAGGAGCAGAGTCGGGCTTACAGAGCAAGCACAAAAAGATTTTAGATTTAGGCACTTGGATATGGGAAATCTCTCTGTGCATAATTCCAGATATTAATTTTTTTTAATATATATATCCCCAGCCATCATTATATATCTATATTCACCTTCAGGCTTCACATTAGCTTACAATGTAGAACAGTTTTGTGTATCACTGATGTTTTTTCTTCTGGATGGGATGGGAATTCCAAGGGGCAGTCAAACAGGACTGCTAATGGAAGTTGCATAGTTCTTATTGATTTACTAATCACTTGTAAACCTTCTCACAAAAAGGGGCCAAACTCAGGGAACAGCCAGGTAAGCAGAGGGATGTGACACAAGTTCCCCAACAAAGGAGACATCATTATCCTTTACCTGGGAGAACTACTACACCTCCAAGCTGGTTGTCTTAAGCCACCTTACGGAAATGCAGAAAGCAGAGCAGATACACAAGGAGTAGGTAGAACCAAATCTTCCCAAAGAGTGTTTTGGAACATTCAGAAGAAAAAAGATAAAGCCATAGGAAAGCCATAACTCTCTAAAATGTGCTGCAAAGTTTATATACTGTTTATATACTGTTTTAAGTATGAAACATTCCTCATGGGCACTCTGGTACGTAGCCTAGCTCATAAGCTTGGACTGCAGAGAAGATATGGTTTGTTCTAGTACTGTCAAAGGCACTGGGGTGGTATCAGACCACTCCTGGAAGTTTGGGCTGTGAAGTTCCTTCAGTATTGCATTCTTCAGGCATCCATAGCTGCCAAGAATAGCCTACTCTTGAGAACTACTTAGAGCAAAGACAATTTCAGCAAAGACAATTTTCTGCTGATCTCACATGGGACTAATGGTTGTTGCCAGCATTCAGTGGTTGCTGGGATCATCTCTGCTGTGTGGGTGTCAAATAACGAAGACCACAGCATTAGGTCCTGCTGTAGCAACTGTGTTGGTAGGGACAGACACATTCCCCACAGCATTTCCTTCGGGGATCTGCCCACACAGATTCAGGACTTCTACTCACTAGCAGGGGAAAAAATACATGCAACAGCCTTGATTTTGTTCTCAATGGCTTAATGTTGTAATTTTGGCATGAAAATGAGTGTCAAATGTTTGGGTTTTTTTTTCAAACACATGTTTTTTAGAAGTACTGTGGTAGTGAGCTATATAGGTACCACTAAGATTTTACTGATTTGTCAGCTGCCACTCCACCTCTTTACATTGCATTTGCAATGATGTAACCTGTTCTCTCCACACATGCAGATCCTACAATGTATTACAATGTCAAGAATTTTAAAGCATGTTAGAAAAAAAAAAAAAGAAAAGGAATCTAGGACTTGGCCATAGTTGTGTTCAGCCAGCCCTAAGCAGAGGACTGACAATGCCTGAATACTGTGCTGATGTGATATGTGTATTGAAGTTTGATTAAGCTGGATATGAAAATTAAAACTTGGCTCCACACTGAAGAGAGAATCTCCTGCAGTGTGACACTATGGCATCCAGTTTTCTGTTTACCCCTAAGGCTGGTGCTGCTATGACTTCCAGGTTTGTTGATGTCTCTTTTTTAAGTTGTTGAGCAGCAGGCTAATGGCTGCACAGCGTGATGCAAAGACAGTAGAAAGCAGGGAAATCAGATGTGAATATATTCCCCAGAGATATCCTGCTAAGATGGAGCTAACTAACCAGAGCTTTACTGCTCAGATGTAGTCTTCTCATGCAGAGGATGGGCTGATTATCAGCTCTTCCTGCTTTACTGTACATTTTTGGATTACAGATGTTATTACACATAATGAATTCTGTTATAATATGCATTCTAGTGTAATGTGAACTATTATATTAAAAGGAACATTACTTTTAAAGAGTTTTTGTCCAAGGCCAGTGTCATTGTCTCTTCCCTATATTGTTCAAAATGATCTTGGTAATCTGAAAAATACAGGTTTATATTCTTCTTCTGTCCTTGTTTTGCCTTAGTTGTTCAAAAGCCGTAGCTGTAGTTTATTTCATCAGGACAAAGGCAAACCTAAGGAATGGACAGGATCTGCTGGCAAAGCAGCAGCCCACCTTGCTGTTTACACAAGTGTTGTCCACGTCACACAACAGGAGTTGCTGTTGCTGCTGGGTAGTCACTTCATTATTGCCACAGTGGCAGCCTCAGATGCCACAAGGTATGGAGGGCAGAGGACACATCATCCTTCTTACCTTGTATGATATTGGTGATATATCTGGTCTATAAAATGAAAAGGAACTGCCACTCTATTTTTATTTTTGTGTAGGGAAGCTACATTCAGGGTCAAGTTAATAATTTTAATGTTAACATGGGAGTTGTATCTGCTTCCCAGCTCCCGTGTATCATCACTGACCCATTCATTGCTTCGAGGTGTTAGGCAGTCTAGGGTGCAGTAGTAACACGGAGAAGAACTTGTTACAGTTCCCCAAAGACACCTAGTGAGAACATCCTCATGTTTTCTCAGATACCATGGCTAAACTGTCAGTCTTTGGTGGTGTAAGGTGGTCTGTGTGGTTTCAGTGAGTAGGAGGAAGACTGACTGACACAGTAATTGATGATTAAGTTTCTGCAGTGTTACTCTGCATTTATTAACCTGCTCTTGAAGCTCTGCTTTCTATACAGATAAGAGAGAAAAAGTTACAATGGTGAAACCATTGTGAAGCCATTTGCTTGTTACACAAGTAAAATCCTGAAGCTGGTTTAATCCAAAAAGACAGAAGCACTGTTCTGGTAGGAAAAAAAAATCTTCACTGAAAGGCTGGTAAAGCACTGGAACAGGCTGCCCAGGGAAGTGATAGAATCACCATCCCTGGAAGTGTTAAAAAACCATGTAAATGTGGTTCCTGGGGACATGGTTTAGTGGTGGACCCAGCAGTGTTAGTTTAATGGTTGGACTCAATGATCTTAGAGGTCTTTTCCAAACCTAATGATTCTGTAGTTATCTATAGCCTTAACAGAGGAGTACTTGAGAGTTTGCACACTGTATGCCAAACACCCAGGCAGTGTGTGCAGAAGTATAATTAAAAGAGTAAACTCTGAGTTAAACAGCACACAGGTTAAACCACAAATCATTTGTCACTGATCTTAAAGGCTTGGCCTAGAGTGCCTCTTAACAGTTTAAAAATGTGCAAGAAGAAAGTGCAAAGGCTCAGCCTTGAGCTTGCCTTAGGGTCACACAGATTGGGACAGGTTTGACAGCAGCACCTACTGAGATTGTCCTGCTGGCATATCTGTCCACAGTACTCCATACCTTACCATGATGAGAAGCAGTTTGTCTCAAACATAATAAAATAAACAGTTACCCTATCAGCTTTTATAACTCAGAGAGGAATTTTATTTGCAGACATTACCACCTTCGGAGAATCTGAAGATTTCTGCATAGAATTCAGACTTTTGGTAAAGTCAAAGAAAGAGAAGTGTTCAAATAGCCTTCAAGGCTTCTCTGAAAACTAATTCTTTTTCCCTATGGAGGCAAGAACAATATTCTCTGAATTCTACAGGAGCAGTAAGTAAAAATTACCTCATACAATGGCATGCAGATGCTATCAATCCACTCGAGCTGCAACCTGGGCAGTTCATGTTTCCTGTTCCGATCAAAAATGGCCTGAATTGAGAAGGGAACAAAACTGTCATGCTTTATTACATTGCAGTATTTTACAGACACATCATCCAGCACTTTTCAGCTATGATCAAATTCTCACAACTAGAACACTTTGTAAACCATAATCAATTTTTGCAGCAGTCTTCCTACTGCTTTGCATGGCATGAAAAATAAACTGTTTATTTTCAATTCTGTTTTGAAATTTTTAGGCTGAATCTATTCGTATTTTATAATTCTGTGATGTAAAATAAATGCTCCACAGTTGGAGCTGAGCTGGTAAGTAACCTCCTGTGCAAATGTAAAGTAGATACCTTTGAGTAGAAATTTCCCTTCTCTCACATAGGGTTTTCCAGCTCAGCAAAATGAACAGTGATGGATCTGGGCTTGCTCTCTCCCTCCCAGTTACAGAGCCTTTCTGCAGAACCAGCTGTGACTGTGAATCCAAAGGGTAGGAAATCAACAGATTCATTTTGGGAGCAGTTATCAATTTGTTCCTCTGGAATCAGCCTAATTCACAGCTCACTGCACTCCCTCAGTGATATGTCACGGAATAGGTCAGCAGTTGATCTTGTTTAAAAATTCCTCATTAATGTAGTAAAACTCTACATGCTAACTGATGGCCTTATCTCCCAACCTAAAACACTTAATACATCAGTTTGCTGAATTTTTTTTTAAGTGATGAAGGGCCAAAAAAGAGGATAATCTTCCTTCAAGAAGTAAGGCTTCAGAGCATCCTACATGTGGCCCACAAATGACTGTATTCCTTGGTACAGACCATAGAGCCCAAAGGAAGAGTGAGAAGTCTCCCTATTATGGAGAAAATACTAAAGCTATTTAAAGCAATACATTTCTTTCCCACCTGTCTAGGCTGTTGGATGCAAATTTTCAGAAGACATGAGTCCAGAAGAAAGCTCTGGCTTTTGCCTTTCTCTGTGATTCTACCAAGGTATGCCCAAAATGTACATGTAATAACATACCTTAAAATAATTCTTACTGTTACTGGACCTGGGCCATTTGCACCGGCATTCATTGCTACTTGAAGACAGTAACATTAACATGCGTGTTAAAATAAAACTACTTCCTATTATGTTTCCTTAGTATGAGAAACACACTTTGCAAATTTTATATAAAGGGCAGAAAAGGCACTTACATCCATACTGTATGGAATGGTGCTTTCAGTTATTCAGGCTAAGATTTAGTCTCAGAATTGTGAACATCATGACTGTGTGATTGCTGTTCTCCTGGACTATAGTTCTCACTTTTTCTGAGAAGATGTATGCACAGAACTATTATAGGGAAGAAATCCATTTCTGCCCCAAACTCTGACAGTATACAAAGCGAAAAACCATTTATTGTAGCTGAGCATTATTTACTACCAACTTTTAAGCTTTATTGATTTCATTACATCACCACAGGCTTATGTGTGAACATTAATGTAGTGAGAACGAGTTTGAGACACTGGACTGGCCTTTTCATATTTGGAAGCATAAAATTTTGGAAGCATATTTGTAAATGGCTTGTAGGTTAAATTCTTTAGAATACTTTCTGTTACCTGTTGCCTCCAAGTAATGGCTTCAGAACATTTTGAGTTATTTGACTTGGGTAAGGTTTTCTCTTCTAATCATTCAATGAAAAACTTTATGAAACATTCCTAATTCTCGTTTGACACTTTATACCCATCTGCCTATAATCCACTCAATACTGATTTACTCTTTTATTCACAATGTTACATTTAGCTGTATACCCACAGAAATGCGTTTCAGCATTTGATACATCAAATAACACAGATAAACAGCTGCAATATAAAGTAAATCTGACAATTTTGATTTCCATAGGTAACTGGTGATTTTTGATTTGAATTCTGTGTATTAAAACTAATACCTACTGCTTAGAAAAGTCAGTGACAAGATAATTTTGGGAACAGGTACGGAAAATGGGTAAAAGGGCTCAACGCACAAGGGACTGCGTTGACAGGAGAGATTTTATATACGGTTATAAATGCTTATCCTTCTTGGACAGAGGTTCTATTCACTCCAAGATTTTTCTTTGTGTACAAAATACAGTTCATTTTTCTGAATGAGGCCAATAATATTTTCTTACTCTATTGCAGTTAGTAACTATTTCACAAGTGATAAAAACTTACTGAAGGGGTGAGTTTTAGTTCAGATCTTTCTCTGTCTCCTTGTTCAAAGAACTCACTGGTTACCAGCTCAGCTGCCTAAAACATAAATCATGATAAAGATTAGAGTTCTTGTTAAATAATTTTTAGGATAATGAGTTTCTGCTTAGACTGTGACTTCAGCCCATGCTTAACTGTAAAGCCCCATTACATGACTGATGTCAGGCACATGTTCATATAGTTTTCAGGACTGGGCATACAGGGGGTATAAACAGCCATATTCACTGATAGGCACAGCTATTTACCCCTTTTGATAGGGAATTGACTGGGGGAATTACACTGCAGTGTCCAGGTAGCACTCAACGCTGTTATGTGCAACTTACTGAAGTACTGAGAACAGAATGGAAAATTATAGCTTCTTGTTGGCATCCACAGTTATGTCTGTAAAGATGCTTTTTAAAACATGCAAGAACTCTCTGGGTATTTACAGGCCATTGCCCTCTACACACAACTTCACTTATCAAAGAAACTTAATTAACCAATACCCTCTGTTATCTTAAACTAATGTGAATTCATAAAGGGTTTTTTTCCCCACTAGGCTTTTTCCCCTGTGACTGTTATCACTATAGGATCTGGATATCTAAATATAAACTCAGACTGTGATGATAATATTGATTTAAAATCAAGAACTGGCAGGTTGGAAGTTGGAATGTGTCTTTTTAACTTTTGTGAATGAAGATGTTCTATTCACAGCAGAGATTCGTGCTTCTTAGAAGAAGACAAGATTTAAAAACAAATTTGGTTATGGAAACAAGAGGAATTTTAGGAAGTCAAACAGTGAGTAATTCTGATATAGTACTGTACTCTTGTCACGTGTGGGGCTTTGAAGGTAAGCATGTGCAATATTTGAGATGCAAAAAAATTGGAAACTAATCTACTGAAGATAGCATTCAGATCCTAAAGCTCCTGTCATGCCTGCGCACTGTTTTCAAGTCAGGAAATAATATTTCATAAAGCCAAGCCATGAGAGGGTAAACTAAGCAGAGAACCTGCACTTCAAAAATCTCAAAATTTCTTGCTCTAGCAACTGCATGGTAGGTAACATTCCCAAATCCTAAGATTGTTATAGTTGAAATAAAAGTACCAAAATAAATTGGAAGTAGGTGAAGTGATGTGATAAAGTACTCTTAAATCTTGAGCCAGGCTAACATAGTTTGGAACTTTATAATGTATGTAATCCCACTGCATTAATAAAACTCTGGATCAATATTCCAGATAGAGGAATAATTTAATGACTTAGCAGCAATTAAGGGTTTGCCAAGTGTATTGTATAAAAATAATCAAAACATAGTATCATGCCTGTGTCTCAGTGCTATTCTGATCCTGTTCTCCTCATGTCCCTTTCCCTCTTCTTTTATCTGTTTTGATCTTTTCTTCCTGAATTTTCCTTCCTACATGTGGCTTTTATTCCCTTTGATTCACGTATTTTAATCTCTTTCTCCCTTGCTTTTCATGGTTTTTTTCCCTTTTGGCACAGTTGAGGTCCAACTATTTCCTGTCTTGCCCCTGTGGACTTATTAGCGCCTCTGCTCAACCAGGTAATGTTTCAATCAATCCCAGACTGGATTTTTCAATACAAAGTAAACCTGTACACTAGGCTGCAGGGGAATTTTCATCCACAGACCTCAAAAGTGATAAGCATAAAACCCCCCAGTTTTCCAGAGACTTCAGCACTAATTCAGCACCGTAGCACAAAGATTGACAACACGGAAAGCAGCCCCTACTTGACATTTTGGCTGTCAAAGAAAATGCAGAAGGGTTAAGGAGGAAAAATGAGGAGGGATTGCACGCACTGCAGCTGTGGCCAGGTGGCACTGAAAAATCCTGTGACTTGTTTTCCCACCGCAGGATATAAGCAGCTTTCCTGATTTCCATGTGAGGTGGCCTTTATTCTGGCCAAGTAGAGCAACAGCCTTAGAAGAACTGTTGTCACGATCTGCTTATAAAAGCAAAAAAGACTCACCTGACAAAACTGCAAGTTGAGCTAAGCCCTCCCCCCATAAATGTTTTTTTTTACTTAGTTGATGTGTATGTAACTTTTGTAGATCCCTTTCAGCTTCTGTTACTTCCTTATCCTTCTCCAAGAAGTCTGGCTGCTCCTACATCAGTAGTTACCTCGTCTAGCTTACTCTTTTTCAGCCCATCTTTATAACTATTACTTTGCTATTACACCAAACTCCCTCCAGCTCTGTACTCACACCCAGCTGAACTGGTATATTTTCTATCTGCTTCTTGATGCTGTATATCCCTCCAGGACCTGACACAGTCTGCCTTCTACTAGCTTGTTCTGGACCTCAGTAAAGGACAGAGAATTATTAGCATGGATACTGGAAATATTAAGGATGGATGTTGGGTAAGGGAGGATGCCTAGAAGAGGGGAAAATATTGGAGCAAAGGATGAGACTTTTTGGACATGTTGCTTTCTTATATTGTACTTGCTTGCCAATGCTGGACCCCTGTTTTTGTATATTGCTAAAGAGCCTACTCAATAGCAGAACCCTGAATTTTTATTTGTTTGTTTCTAAGTAGAGGATGCTAAAAGAAAGCTCTATACTAGCAGTTTTTTCAACATTGTTAAGAAAATGAACACATTTCTCTTATAATATGTACTGAAGTTTTATGTTAATTGCAGTTTGCAGCTCATCTGTTGGTATTTTTGATTTAGGGAAGATTCTGTCACTGTTAAGGAAAACTTTGGAATAAAACCAGTAAGCACAACTTTTTTGTTTAATCCATCCATTTTTGGATATGGATTTAAAAGGTTAATAAGAGGAGACACTGTAAAGCCAGATGTACACACCAGCATGTGTACAGGTAAAGATTATGCAATAAACCATTTTTTGCAGAAACCCCCTGCTATTTTTTTATAGCATTAATACCACTGTAAATTGATTCCAGTTTTGGTCCCTTGTAAGCCAGGGCCCTGGGAATATTGTCCTGCCAGTCCCGCCTCCTCTCAGCCCTGCTATTAATCATGACTTGCCTGTCTTGAAATCTCCCACGGTTTGGTCACAGCTCCAAGGTCACAGGCTGTCATTAGCATTGATCTGAAAAACAGAAATGAACAATACAAGCTGAATCAACCTTTGTTGGACTTCTAAACAACTGTGCTCTGGATGCATAAATAAATAATACGTATATAAAATGTCAGCCCTGGCACCTTCTTTTCCTCCAGAAAAGAATGATGTTTGAAATCTCAGCCATCAGCATGGCTTTTACCACAATTGTGCCTCGGAAGTCTAATGTGTTGCAGGTCATAAGATGATGAATTTTGGTATTGTGCATCGCACACTAGAAAAGAAATGATATTGCAAGGGAGTAACTGCTAATTTTGCAATACTTCTAACACTACTTACATTAATACCTATAATATATTAGAAAGCATGTGCTTCACATGATATAAGTAAGGGTATTATTACATAATAACACCTACAACTGGATTAATTTATATGCCTATTTGTAAGTGACTGCTGTAGCAAGAGAGCCTATAATCACAAGAGGCATTCCAGACACTGTTTAAGCAGTTTCTACTGCTCATCTACAATAAAAATTTAAGATTTACTATGAGGTATATGGTTCCACTGTAGTTTAATACCTAGCTACAACCATGTTTTATATGCATTAGGAGAAAGAAACCATTCAGCTGTAGAAAGCGTTTATGTACAGTACATGATGCAGATAAAAGTCTGAGAAAGTTTAAATGAAGAACAAGGGCACTGAAAATGAAGCATCAAATATATTGTCTGAATCTAAAATTAGGAGTGGGTGAAATGGTATGGAAAATAGAAAATGGCCAATATTTTGGTCAAAAGACCAAAAGAAAGCAGAATTTTAATGAAATTTCAGATAAAATGAGACATAATTAGGCATGCATACGCAAATACACACATTTTATTGTCTAAAAAGCATGATGTACTTAAACTATCCACAAAGTCTGAGGTTTTCAATAGGATGCACATTCAGGGCATTCTTGAGGGCTAGAAGAGTACTGTGTATATGCAAATTCTCAGGTACAGACTGGAAGAGCAGAGAAAAGCATGGCCAGTGAAAGAAAACAGCTGAGAGGAGGAGGGAGCGGGGAAACGGACAAGAAAGATCCTTGTGTCCTAAGGCTGAATATTGATGCTTTCTGGAAAAAGAGCAGAAGGGCTGAACAGTAATTGGTGAGGCTGAGAGAAAGGGAAGAAAACATGACAGAATGTGAAGGCAGAAATAGGAATGCAGAAGGTGAAGTCATGCCAATTAATTGCAGCTGTTTGCCAATATTTAGAAATCATACCATATATTTAATTTCATGGATCATATTTTTAAAACAAGGTACCTTCTCTTGTTATTCTAAGCCTTAACTCCACAATATATGAAATTCCTTCAACAAATACGGCTACACGCTGAAATTACCAGAAAGCAAGAAATAACAGGGCTCACCGAAATATTTCTCGGTGTTTTTTTATATTCCAATCATAACCACCTCTACTGACAAGTTCAAAAAACTCGGTCCTTCTCCTGCAAAAAAACAGATTATCAGAGAAAGAAACAAGACACTTCCAGAGCAGCACTGCAGTAGGAACACAGTTCTCTTTATGAGACAAAATCACTGCACCTCATGTATTATTGTTAAAGTCATTACACTGACAGTCCATTTAAGCGAAACATACTAATTTCCGAACATGTTCTATAAATGTCTGTTATCAATGTCAGAGTTGCCTAGTAAAAGCAATATTGTATTTATGGTCTCCACAGATAAGGAAATTAATGGCACTGAAATGTTCAGTCTTCCATGGAAGCATGAAATGTTCACCTACAGCAATGGACAGACAGACAATAGAAGCACCACTGAAATATACACATGCTTCTCTTTATTTGTCCTTGCAAAATGGTTTTTACTTCTATATCCTGAAGGGTTTTTCAGGGACATACAACTCCAGTCTTTTTCCAGCACACAGAAAAGAACAGAGACACACACAGGCTGCAGCTGTCTTGAGTTGGTAGTTCTCATTGACTAGAAACTACATCTCCCTGCCTCGTCCCATGCTTTGTCTTCTGGAATATCTTCCCTGGATCCTCAAAGATGGACAAAATGTGAAATGGACAGAACATGTTAATGCCTGATTGTTGCCCTTAAGAATCAAAATTCTGACTCGTTATAGTCTATAATCTTTTATGGCACTGAGTCTCCAAGCGGCTCTTCCTGCATGCAGTGTGACTACAATATGTAATAGATCCTGCCCAAGATACAGCGGTAGTTGAGGCACAAACACTTAGAGCACCTTGTCCACAATGACACAGCATATGAGCATCAAAATTGGAAAGTAAATACCTGTCTTCTGAGTGACAGTCCAATGTCCCATCTCATATGAGACTGGGCTGTCTCTTTGTCAAATGGAACTGTACTTAAGATTCCTCAACAGGAGAGAGTTTGCAAAGTCTTGTATTTTCTACATTTGCTTAAACTAGGCTGAAAGTTTGAACAGTGATTAATGAAAGCACAGCCTGATGGCAGCCAGTACATGTTTTGCACAAAAGGAGATTCACAGTTCCAGGAACACTACCTCTGATGAGTGGACAGAATGTTATGTGGAGCACGTTGCGTTATTCTTGTCCCTGACTGTTGTGGTTATTTGACCATTCACTCCTACTATAGGGTCTTTCTATAATGGATTTCATGACAGCAGCTAGAACAGGGAGATATAAGCATGGTGATATCTAATCCCTTATGCTTCGCGAAGTAAGATGTGAAAGAGCTTCATGTTACAAAATTTTCTAGGACAATGCAAAGTCACACACATGAAGAAAACAAAACTCAATTCTCTCACATAAAGCCTCATGCATTGTGGTCCCTAAGGAAATAAATATTTCAACAATGAAAATTTTAATGGCCAAGAGTAGTTGTCACATAAACCTCAAACCAGCCTAACCCTGAGCAGAACAACGCTATCCTGAGCATCAACAACTACACACTCTATTAAGAGAGCGAGCAGTAGATTTTTGCATCTTGTATTTCAGTGCCCAGTCTAACAACGTAAAATTTGGAAATTATTTCATTTTGAAGTATTGGATATTCTGAGAAATTAATAGGTTACTGGATAAAAATAAGGAAAGAATGTTTAAAACTGAGAGCTCAGGAAGACATCCCAGAAACCTCAAATATTCAAATTTAAAATGTAGAGATCCATAAACAGTAACTGAAAATGTGAGTCTCAAGGCTGTATGTTAAGCTGAAAACTTTAAGAATTTTCTTTGAAATCCATTTAAAGGGATACAGAAGTAGTAGTCCAACTCCACAGAGAATTTCTAGTGTAGCAAGGAGTCAACCTGAGAAAAGCAGCCATGTATAATGAAACTATTTAGTGTTTCCTACAGGTTTCTTATGACTGGTATCCAAAATTATGAGGTTTGCTATTAATAAGCAAATATAATACATCAGGACTTCAGAAATAAACTGAACTATAACAATTTTGCAGTGTCTTTGAGTAACATTGACTCTGATTGTGTTTTGTCTGGAAGGGAAGGTTGTCTTGCTACATATGACAAATCCAGTTGCTCTACACCCAGCAGTTCAAGATATCATTTGAGTGAATTTCCATAAACTTCATTTTGGTTCCATGCTTTTGCTTGTTCTATTATCTACAAGCATCATTATCTAGAATTATTTACTAAAATCAAGTATATTTTCCATCTGATCTTTCACTGAAAGTCATCTTTTTGTTTGTTTGTATAAAAGTAGTGCCTTAAGAAGGTCATAATGCCTTGCTCTGCCTGGAGTTTTGTTGCTGTTCTGCTAGATGGAGTTTGTGATCATTAGGTTTAGGCTTTCTAAGAATACCAATATGAGAATACCCTTCTCTACAAAAATATTGAAGATGTGGCAAACTGAAAAAACAAGGTAGGTACTTGTGTAGAAACATCTGTTCACGTTGGTTGGCTTTAAGAAGTGTAAACCACCGTTTCCAGAGAGAGATTTTCAGGCACTTTCGGAAGTAAAGTAGCATAACTACCACCTTATTAATAAATCATAATAACACGAGGAAAAAATAACTTGTCTGCAGGGTTTTGAGTAAAGAGGCCTCATTTGCTAAAAGTCTTTTGATTCATGTACCATATAAAAATAAATTATGCAAGTAAGGAAGAATAGTCTTGAAACTTGGCTTATGGCCCTTTTGGACGTTATTTTTCTGTATTAAAGCTAGAAAGACAACTTGATCACATAGGTTTTCAACCTGAGGCAGTCAGGGAAGAGAGCTCCATTATGTCTAGCTCTGAACAGGGTTCCATCCCAAGGCACTGCCATGGGCCCTCCCTGGCTCTTCCAAGGGCTGCAGGATCTCGACCAGGGGGAACACATGGAGCTGTACCAGGGCAGCTGCCCTCTCAGTCCCTGCCACTCATCTGTTCCTTGACAACACAAAACATTTCTGCAGCATTTGTTATTTGTGGTGAGACCGGAGAACCTGTACTGGCACATCCCTGCGGTCCTTGTATCTCACAGAATCATCAAGGTTGGAAGAGACCTTCAAGATCATCTAGTCCAGCTGTCAACATAGCACCACCATAATCACTCCAAGACTCCCCAAGTGCAATATCAAGACATCTCTTGAACACTCCCAGGGATGGTGACGTCACTACCTCCCTGGACAACTTATTTCAATGTTTAACCAATCTTCCAGTGAAAAAGTTTTTTCTAATATATAATCTGAACCTCCTCTGGTGCAACTTTAGACCATGTCCTCTCATCCTTTCACTTGAAATATAGCAGAAAGACTGACCCTCATGTCTCTAAAACCTCCTTTTGGGTAGTTATAAGGAATAATGAAGTCCCTCCTGAGCCTTCTCCAGACTAAACTCCCTCAGCCTCTCATTTCTCATAAGACATGTTTTCTAGACTCTTCATCAGCTCTGGTGCCATTCTCTGGACATGCTCCAGCACCTCAATGTCTTTCTTTTAGTGAGAAGCCCCAAACAGAACACAGTACTCAAGGCATGGCTTCACCAGTGTCGAGTACAGAGGGACAATCACTTTCCTAGTCTTGCTGTCCACACTATTCTTGATACAGGCAAAGATGCCACTGGCCTTCTTGGCCACCTGGGCACACTGCTGAATCAAGTTCAGCTGGCTGTCAACCAACACCCCCAAGTCCCTTTCTGCTGAGCAGCTCTCAAGCCACTCTTCCCCCAGCCTGTGGTGCTGCCTGGGGCTGTTGTGACCCAAGTGCAGGACATGGCACTTCGCCTCATTGAACCTCATGCAGCTGTCCTCAGCCCATCACTTCTGCCCACTTCATTTGAAGCTGCCAGCAAACCATGTCATACCAGCCTCACAAATAACAGGCAGTCCTAACAGACAGCTTCAAAAAGAGTGCTTGAAAGGGTTTATTTATCCTGCTCAAAATATTCACGCCAGCAAGCAGAAATTCCTTCATAGGCTAATGTTTAGAAGTTGTTTATAATAAAAGTACTTGCTAAAATTCTTTCTTAAGAATACTTCTTGGGGAATAGACTTGCAGGAAACAAAGAGTATCAGTGTGTCTACTGCCAGTAGTGTTTAAAAACAACCCTTGGCACAGGAACCAAATACTGAGAAAAATAGACAAAGCAAACACTGCAGCATCCCAAGTAGAATTTTTACCTTTAACAGTTAAGGATACAATGTTCATAGAGATACTTGAACAATTTCAGAATAAAGACTTTGCCTGAAGTTTTCTGGAAACCTGGTTTGGTGTCATCCACCAGCACATAAGAGGAGCAGGATCCAGGTATACCACCCTAAGAAAAACATTACTAAACGATACCCAGAACTGTATGGGATAGGATCCCAGTGGACATCAAATAAAAATGACCCTGAGATTAGCTCAGTTGGTTGGAGCATGGTGCTAATAACGCCAAGGTTGTGGGTTTGATCCCTTTATGGGCCATTCACTTAAGAGTCGGAACTGGTGATCCTTGTGGGTCTCTTCCAACTCAAAATATTCTGTGGTTCTGTGAAAATTCCCAAGGATGAATTATTGTCAAGACTGCAAAGGTAGTACACTGAAACTGCACATCTGACAGCACTTCTCCCTATAAGTCAGGTGCAGGCACGTGCCAGAGAGAGGGATGTCAGAAATGCAGTGTGATAGTGACACCACAACCCTTCCAACACCATGCATGCTCCCAGACATTCTCACTGGGAAGAGTTTGGTAATAATTACCAGTATTTGAAAAACATAAAGTAGCACCAACTTGAAATCAGCTTCAAGATTTGATTTGAAAACAGGGGAAAGGAAGAAAACCAGATGAGAGAGTTTCTATTGTACTTCACTTCAGCTTTTTAAGACCTATTCTCATCATGTGATGCAAATTGGCATAATTTGTCTTCAAAGAAGCAAAGTATATGCTTTTGTTATCTCTGCAACTGGATCTGTAACTAAATACAATATTTCTTTACATACATGTTTAGAAATACTGAAATGGTGGAAACGAATTCTCAGATGTTGTTGATTTTCTACATGCCTGAAGAAATGATCACAGAAGGGACAGAAGAATTAAAGGACTGAGCTGTAACTGATTCCTGGGATTGCTTTGAAGTATAAGTCTAGGATTTCACTTGCTTTTGGTGGATACAGACATGTTACATGTTAAGGCAAAACTTACTTGGACACTTGAGATATTTCTATTAGCCTAAGATACACTAAGTATTAAACTAAAGCTCTTCAACCGTAGCTAAACACTAATTTCCCATATTATATACCCTTATTGGTCTTTAATAGGTCATTAGAATAAGTTCTCTGAATTTTCATTTGTCAAATACAAGAAATGCCAATACTTACTCAAAATACAGAGTGAGGTCTGTTGCCAATATCGATTGCTTTAGAAGCTGCATAAGGTCACTGTAGTCCTTAGAGGACAAGTTAGCAAAGATGTTGTGACCCTATAATGAAAGAGATAAAAGAGGTAAAAGACTGGCAATCAATATAGGTTTTGAAAAGGTTTTCTAACTCTTTAGTCTACTGTTTCTCTGTAACACAAGCCTTTTCTGATTCATGGCAAAACTACAACAAAATAATAATGTTAATACTGCTGAGATTACATTGAGGTGGAAGAGCTGATGATTGTAATCCAGCACCTGGTATGTTTTTCTAAACTCTGCTGAAATTATAGCCTCTTGAGTAAAGATTTACTCTTTGCTCTGACCCTGCACAGACTCAGTTTATGGGGGAAAACTATGGATACATTTCAATCTTTCCTCTTATTAAATGTTTTGGGGAGCTGTGCATTGGAGCTTTTGAGTTGTGCTCCTAATAGATTTATCTGCACTGCTGCTTGCAGGCACATAAGCTGCTGTAAGAGCAGTCAAGGACACTAAATCAGTTTTTCATTCAAAACAGCCCATTTGCTCACTCTGCCCATTACTGCCTTGTCTTACAGCCATTGCCTACACAGGCTAAAGAACCACATATTTATATGCAGTTTCAACACCCTGTGTGGGCCCAAGTGGTGGCTTTTTAAGGAATTGTGGATTAAGAATTTGAAAGGTGCTCTATGGTCAGAACGATAGGAAAGAAATTATTTTAGCAGGTAGGTCCTTTTATAACTGAATTTCTGAAACTAAGAAGAGGGACAGAGACAGTGTAATTCCTCTATGAAATCCCAGAAAAAATAAACCGAAAGAAAACAAAATTAATGAAAAATTCTAACTGTAAGCTTAAGAAATTATCTTTGTGACAATAGTCACATATAACTATATTAACATAAATAAAAGAACTACAGGTTGTTTGTTGTTTTTTTTCTAATCACCTATAGAAATGTTGAAGTTCTTGCTAAACAGTCTTATTTTGGTGGTATTTAGTCCTGTAGTGCCCACATTCAGTACGCACTGCCATCTACTGCCTAGGAAGATTAAAATGCTCTTAAAACCAAGAATTTTCCAGTAACAGGATTGCTATAACCATGATGGTATGAGGACATATATGAGATAAGGTCCAGAGGTAGAGATGGCATTTTTTATTAGAGCAGCTAACTGTTGGACTGAAAAAATAATTTACCATGAATAAAATTATTTCTTTTCAGTTAGATATTGAGGTTTTGAGAATTTAAAGCTTATTTATGAAAAAAAAATTACAATCAAAGTACTTAGAAGTAAAGCAAAATGTACCAGAAAAAGAGTTCTTACAACAGGGGTAATTTACCAAGTTGTCTGTTATTCTCTAATATCTAGTGCCTTTCTGACCTGTTTTATTGTCTAGAAAACCATGTCACTACTAAGCCCAAGATCACTATATTGAGGTTAACATGTCAAGAGTAAGGGATAAATACCTCCTTTGTCCAATATGCTAAAAATCTGAAGAAATAATACAACATACTATGTTTCCTTGTAGTCAGCAAAACCAGACTAGAACATTTCAGCTAGTTTGAGAGAGACTGGCTGCTCAGCTGGCAAAAGATGGTGCATCTTTAAGTAGATTGGGGGATCCACATCTGCATTTGTTCCAAACTAAATGATGTTGTGTTCCATTAGCAAACAGTATGGATTGGACAAAAATCCTGTAGGATTAATTTTCTGGACTAGAAATGAAGAACTGGAAAAGAAGCTGTCTGAATGATCAAAGGTGAGGACTTGCATTTCAAGTAATACTTTACATCTCTAAAGAAGCTGTTCTAGAGTCCAAAGAATTTTTTGTTTCATACATTTATTGATTTTTAAGCTGGAAAAGATAAAGAAAAGCATCTAGACTGACACAGAGTTGTCCATGTCTTGAGTTTGAGACATTTAATTATGATGAAGATTTCAGGAACTAGAGAACTCACTGTTTTCCAGAAAACCTTGTTCCAGAGGCTGAACAAAGTCACTAGTTTAGGGAAAAAAAACCCCAAACAAAAAAACCTATCCTTTTTTCCTATTCTGAACTAGTCTGTTTATCATTCAAATGCTGCTTTTTCTTACACCTTTCCCTGGTATTATAAGGGAATTTAATTCCTAATATCACCTTTTAGATAAGCTAGCCTAGGCTAAACAAATTGAGCTGTTTAAATCTCATGCTGGTGCCCTCCTTTCCTATGTTTACTTTCTAAATATAATGTCAAGAAACTGAACACTAAAGCCACAGTCCCATGACAAATCTCTCTGGCAGTGTACACAGAGGTAAAGCCATCCGCCTGCTCCCATTTGTCGGTGATCACAGGGCATTCCCAGATGCTCTTCAGAAGTTACTGCAGATCAGCATATGGTCTCCAATTGTGCTGCACGAACAACAAATTTTGGTTTTATATTTACTGAATACATTTTGTAACAACCTAGCTGTGTAAATCCACTGTTTCGTAAGGACTGCCTGTCCATCCTTCTCCTTTTTTCACTGCAGCTCTGGGGTAGTGCATGCTGTAGATACTGTTACACACAAGATATTCCAGGCAATAACTATGTCTTCATATGTATCTGCAAAGCAATTACTGTATTTTGGACAGCATGATATTACTGATATTAATTTTTAAAAATAATTTATTAAAAATATGAAAAACCATCACAAAAATACTGATTACAGAAAGACTGTCAAAGAAATTAAATTGGTGCAGTAAAGGATGACTGTGATATTCTGAATATGATACCTGTGGGGAAAGGTAAGAGTTGTTTCAGCTACCTATAAACCATGGAGCAGGATATATGTAAGAAGACTGAGAAAAGCTGACAGTATTATTAGGATATGTTCTCCTTGCCCCTCGCTGATTGAGACAAATATAATCTCTGGGCTCTATGATCAGCATTTGTAGTTGTTTAATTTTGTGCTAGTTGTGACCTTTGTGGTAACCAATAAATAATTCCTCAAGGAGAGGACATTAAAAAGGTACCATGTGTGGTATTTCCTTTCTCCTGCTGAAACTGCCCAACAGCTTACAGTGAGATTAATAGTAATGCTTTTGTACCTCACTTTGGAGAATCATGACAGCATGATTGAAATGGTGATGCTCCAAGGTAGCAGAGGTGCCATAGAGCTGAGCTAAGGCTGATCCACTCCTGAAACAGAACATGGGGAGTCAACAAATACTGCTCATCTGCTTACAAAGCAGGTTTCAGAAACAATTTAGTTACAAAAGCACGTAGCCACACTTCACCTCCATTTCAGTAACCACACCTAAGACAGTTGACAAGGTCAAGAATACTAATTTAAAGCCAGATACAAAGCATTTATGTTCCAGACTTTGCTAAATATCATCAGCTGACTAACAATTTTTCTTGAACTACAAGAAATTTTGCAACACAACTTTCAAAGTGCCTCAGCAACGGCAGAGGTGCACCATTGTGCAGTAAAGACACACAGTAACGTCCTTGATCTAGGATTGGCTCTTCCACTACTTTGTTTTTTTAATCCTTAATAGACATAAACACAATGGCTTACGATGGGCAATTAGAAACTCTTAAAATAAATCCCCAAAACACAACAACAAAAAAACAACTACAAATGCACTGAGGTCCTGTCAGTATGTAAAATCACACATTTTAAAAAATACTAAGGTAAACAAAAAAACACAAGTGAGAGCAGTGACTATAAAAGCAAAGTTTAGCATTGCTTCAGAATGTATTTTCTCACCATGTTTATTGTCTAAACCAAAATCAGATTCAAAATGCACAGAGCAGGTGGGTTTTCTAAGTTTCTAAGTTTTTCTAAGGATAAAAATCTATAGAATACAATTATAAAATTGTGAATCATTGGGAGGTGCAGAGAAAGGGACTGGATTGTCAGAATAGTCGCTGTTCACACTTCTGGGATCCAGCCTAAAGCAACAAGATGGGTTTTCTTTCCAAAGAAATGAGAATAAGAGATTATGCTAGAGACAGGAAGTCTCCGAGGAGCATATGCCATAAAACTGCACCATACTGATACTTAATTATCAGAAGCAGCTATATTAGAGAGAAGGATGTCCAGGAAACATTGTCCCTAGAGAATGTGATGCTGAGATATATAACAGAGCCATTTCAAACAACTGTGATATTGCCTCCATCATATACCTCTTGAACTTTCATCATACAGAACAGCAGTATCGAATACTGAAGATAAAACAGGAAAAAGTGATGCTTAAATTTACATCAGGTTAGAGGAATAAATCATAGTTGCTGTTATGAAAACTACAGCTTCTGTTTTCAGGGATATTTTATGCATGTGTGGTAATGTTTGTCTTTCATTAAATGTCTTCAGCAGTTTCTTTATGGAGTCATAAAATGGTAGCCTCCTCTTTGTACTCCATTGTCAAACAACAACTATAAGTGATAGCAGCCTAGCGCTGAAACCCTACACCTTTAACTGAGCCATCCCTCTGCACAAATGATGCTGTTGTGTAATGTTATAGTGGAGAATTGGTTAACTTAATCAGAGCCTAAAATGGCTAAGATGTAAATTTTAGGTCTCGTAAATTAGGAACATAAACATCAGTCAGCTGAGCTTCCTTCCCATTTGTCTCGTCTATTTTGATTCTCTTCAAGTCCACTGCAAAAAGGCATCTAGCAGTGCTTGGTAACCTTTGCACCATGAGCTCTGTCTTTTGAGCACTGCAATTGATTTTCCTTGCTATGGTGATTGAAGATCCAGACAGTGTCATTGTTTCATTGAGATTGTATGGCAACACCAATACGTCAGGAAATGGCAGCTTAGTGAACATCAGAAACATCAGTTTGAGTGATGTTCACTGAGACAGCTTGCCCCCCGAAATGCAGCAGCGTGTACATACACACATTGCAGCAGAGTATTTCTGCAAAAAGTAGGACAAAATAGGCTAATGAAGCATTACACTGTCTTTCAAATATCTTTGGACAACCATTTGACCACTACCCCATCACACTGGAGGATTAGCAGTAAAGCAGAACAGAAAAAGCTGCAAATGCACACTGGGATCTGCAGGACATATTCTGACTGTAGAGGACCTAGGGAGTGAAGAAAACCACATGGGATTTGAAGGAGTCTCTGTGTCTGACAGCTTTATTTCACAGCTTGGCCAGGATGTTGCCAGGGGACATTTTCTGTTGTCCTGCCTGTTCTCAGGGAACACTGATTTTGGAATTAATTTGAGCATGGTCAAAGGAGTTTCCTTACTACCACAGTAAGAAGTACCACCCTCAAAACTTCCTCAAGCCTGCTTCTACCTCACTGTGCCTGATGGCAGCAGCATGGACAGTAAAAATACACGCAAGTCAGGGCTGCTAAATCAGATCATAAGAACTTTGAATAAAATAAAATTCATTTTCAGAATTGAAAACAGTCTGTGGAGTAAGATTTCACATCAGTGAAGTATGAATCATACTTCATAAGCTAGGAATTACTTTATGTATGCTTGCTTATACTGGTGTGAAAGTTTTTGTGAAAGCATTATTTCAGTTTTACTTCTTTTATTTTCTTCTCAGTAAGGGAACAAGGTTTTACTCAATATCATGCATTCCAGTCAGTAAGAACAACCCAGATAGACAATTTAGATGTTTCCTGGGTTGAATACCAGAATCAATAATAGCTGAGCCTGAAAGGAACATCAAGTTTTGGCACCACATTTTAATATGTGGTGTCATTTCAACAGCCTGCTACAAAGGACAGGCCAGCAATTACCTAAAGGAACAGAGAATGATAAAGATGGATTGTCCCTCACTGCATACAGGAATAAGAATACTTGGCCTTGGCCTAGGAGGCTTGAAATTAATGCTTCATTCTTTATCCTGGTCACCTTTTGCTCTCCCATGGAAGAAAACCAAATTAAAATAGTAAGAATTAGAAAGCTTACTTGGCTTGGAAGGCATTGTTGGTTCCCCTGTGGTCAAGGTCGTGACATAAGCATCCCACAATCAAAGCTAAAATTTCAATTTCACTTAGAATCTCCTGGAATCCTGCAGTCTGAGAGCAGAAAAAAGATAGCAGCTGTAACTATCAGTAGCAAAAGGGATAAGTAATGTTAGTCCATCGAGCAACAGTCAACTTTGTTTTGATACCATGAACGTTTCAGTAAGGAGAAGATAAATGCTTTATTGTCATATTCTATTCCCTGCTGTATGTTAGATGGTTAGCAGAATAGATAACGTCCTTGGAGTGATCTGTTATTATCTCTTTGTTGCATTTTCAGCATGCCATTTCTCTGCTACCCAGAAGGCACTGAAGGCAAAAAGAGCTGAAAACAAACATCAGTAACTGCAGACTAAGATAGTAACTGGATTTTCTGATCAGAGAAATAAAAAAACCTCAAACTAAACTGATTCCATTTTGAAATTATTGTTCTGAGGAGTATTTAGTAGATTTCTTCAATTCTGAGATGACCACTTAGGTCAATCCCTACTGTCCGAGATAGCTGAGACATTAAATCAGAAGACCTATAAAAGAACCCACATACAATATACTCTATGAAACTGTTAGGAACTATTAAAAGATTTTTTTTTTACCTGGGACAATGAAGTGGCATGATTTAAAGAGGAAATGTCTCAAATGGCTTTTTTCTGCTGCAGATACCCACTTGAATTTGGGAGAGATTTTTGAAAACAGATGTAATGAAATTGCCTACAAGCAGCTCAGACTGTGTGAATGAGGGAGCTGATTCTAGAAACGTTTTTTTGCCACTATACTTCTCCTCATGGATACTTGCCATAACAGTCTTCCTGCCTGAACTGACTCATGTCAGAAAGGGAACACTATTGGTATTGCTAACCTCATGCATCCCGAACAGATCCTGTCTGGAGGAGGTGCTAGAGCCTGTGTAGGACACCACCCTGTCGGTGCTGTGCATCTTACCCATGGCAGAAACAACCTGGTTCTTCAACTCTTCAGAAGCAGAAGGGCATATTGCCTGCACAAAGTACTGGCTGAGCTGGAAAATCATAACACTTGTCTTTCCACAGTGCCAGTCTCCAAAGACACTTTTCAATTAGCCATATGACCTAGTCAGTATGAAAGGAAATTATATTCAAGAAATATAAAATACATTTATATTGGAGTACCAAATCAAGGCTGAACACTAACACCATCTGAGAAATCCCAAATCCCATTGATTTTCATTGGGGCATAATTTCACCCACTGGCAAGAAAAGGGTTTATGTGATACAGTGAGACTTGCTGTCCTTCCCCGGGTAGGAACTTAGGATCCACTCAGAAATGCCAGTCAATTGCAGCAATACTCTGAAAACTCTTCTATTCATCCCAAAGACCACGAATTCTACTTAAAGAAATGCACATTCAAATCCAAGTACCCTCTGTTTAGATAGTCTGAAATGTAGCTGCAGTTAATACTTAGGCAGGACAGGGAGCCAAGCTCCCCCAGGTGCTCAGGAATGCATTTCAGTAGGAATTGAGGAAGTGCAGAACAAAAAGGACAAAAGTGCTACAAAAGCTTTATAATTGCTTGAAGTTTACACATCAGAAAAGATGATGAAGTATGAGGAAAAAAAGATTAATTTTGTGTAGAATCCACTGGTGTACAGAATAACTTGAATATTAGGAAAGAGATTCTCCTGATTTCTAGCAGCATTGCTTTTTTTTTTTAGTTTCATTAACATGTACCCAGGCAGAGGAAATTCTCTAAAAAAATAGTAGTTTATCTCTTTATTTTTTTAAACATTGCTCTTGTATAACAAATAGTAATAAAGGTCTATCTTAAAAAGGGATTGAAAAATAGGTTTTTAACTGATGACATGCCGTATGTCATTTCAGTCTAGAAAAAATATTCATAGCTAAGTTAAAACAACTTAAAAAAGAAGTTCTATAATATAAAATTGATGTCGTAATAAATATTCTTTAGCATAACACAAGCTTTGATTAAACTCAAGGATTCAATCTGTATTGCAAATGCAGAAAAGCTGATTAAGGAATTTATTAACAGTAGCAATATCTCAAAAATAAATGCCACATTTTATTTAATGTAAAGTCTAGTCATTGCATATATGAAAGAAATATAGTATATGTCACTTAGTAAAAAACCATTTAATTTAAAACAATGTTACAGTAAGGGGATATCTTCTTTGAACATAATGCAAGAAAACAGGGGATTACATTTCCCCATTTTCTGAATTTACACAGAGAGGAAAAAAAAACATGGCTATAGATGATGGTGCAGTAAAATTTATTTTCACCAGAAAAGGAATGACCCATAACTCATGAGTGGCACAGTCTCCAGTGAGTTATAGAGGTCATTCTTTCATGTGAGGAAATGAATTGCATTCATTATACCTTGCCCCACATCTATATGTTTTGTTATTAGCACACCAGATGGGATTTTAATTTTGTATTGCTTACTTGTTCATTTTTACCCTTTGAAATAAGTATCAATGTTAACTGTGCTGGTAATGGCATTGATAACAAAGCTTGGGCTTGATCCTGTGGTTTACTCTCATGCAATGTCTTAAATTGTGGGAGCAGCCTTGATGCAGTGCTTGTCTCAGAATATCTGGACATCTGAAATACAGAACTATGGCTCGCAGAACTGTGCTTATAATTGTTCAGGAGAGACAAAATACATAGGAACATACTTTAGATATGCAAAAGGCTGAGTTCACTCGGAGTGAAACAATTGGTTTACTCTTTGTTAGATTTCTGTTGTTTGGCTTGTTCAAGCCAGCTGAATTTTCCTTCTACATCCAGTAAGAGTATGGTCAGGCCATTAGAGGCTACTGCATTACAGATTAGACAGTACTATGCTATGGTAAATTCTACCTGAAAATGCCCTAAATAGACCTGTTGGATTATACTTGTGGTGCAGTCTATATTGCTGACTCTCATGGAGACATCAGAAATCAGGTGCAATAACTGCACAAAGCAGTGCTTTCTTGACCATCAGAGGCGGCCTCTAAAGCCCTTTAAAGGGCTTGTCAACGTATTTTCCCTTTTTCACAGTGCAAAAAGAAGACACATACTAACTCGGATGGTATCCCCAAGACAAATGCAGTAGGAGCAAGCCTTGTGCTGTTACTGGTCTCTTGACTCTCTTTTGTGTCTTTTTTTTCCCCACAAGATCAGTCAGACCAAACAGAACACACACCTGAACTTATTCTGTCCTCAGCCAGAGACAGAGCAAAGCGGGGTGGGATGTGTGGCTATGTTGTGAGCACATGCATCTGAATTGCTCAGTTTATTACCAGGAGTGAGGGCAATGAAATGAACTTGGCTTGAAAATGCCAGATCACATCCCACATACAGTTGCATCCCTGTGCTGACTGCAAAAAGGATCCTGAAATTATGCTGTGAGAACCACAACCAAAGCAGTTTATAGTGGAAGCCTGGCAGGCTGCAGGAGCAGCAGGGATGCGCTCTCTCCCTGCTGGCTGCCAATGCGGACACCTCTAGGCGAGATGGAAGTGACTGGTGAGAGAGCGCGTTTCCCAGCGAAAAGAGCAGCGTGCCGCAAACCTGGCCTTGGAGCTCCACCTAGGGGTCTCACCGGTGAGGCTGGGGGGCTCCTCACCCCGGGCAGCGTCTGGCAGAAATTACTGTAACTCACACCGAACGGCGCTGCCCGCCTTTGCCTTACTCATCAGAGTAAAACGCTTTTCATTTTTCTAAAGCTGAAAAAAAAAGGTGCATGTCAAATTTATAGAACTCTAAAAACAACCGACACCCGTGCCTTCCGACCAGATTTCATTAGAGAGCGTCAGAAAGTGCCTGCTGAAACAACGTTAGTTCTGCTCAGCTGAACAGCCCTGCGCCCAGAAGAAGATGTGACCGTTCTCCCTTGTTGAACGTCTCCATTTCCTTTGTCTCGTGGTGTACGGTACAGCTTTGCTACACCTCCATAAGCACTCACAGAAACAAAGCCACACAGACGGGTTTGGACCAAGCACTAGACCAACATCTACCTGCTAGGGGACGTCAGACTTGGTTTTTTTCTTGCCCAACAAAGTTCTGGCACACAGACAATGCCAAACAGAGGAGAACAGCCAGGAACCCACACACAGGACAGTTGTGCCTTGTGAGCAGGAAAAAGGCCACTGACTGACTCAAATCCATGTAACAGTGCACTGACCTGTGCTGGGAATGGCACAGGCTGTGGAGTCTCCCTCTCTACAGAGTTCAAATCCTAAGTGCACTGCAGAGACCAGTCAGCAACAAGAACATAGGTATTCATGGAACAAAAATTAGAGAGCAAGCACACAACATCTCAGATAAATAAATACTTGCACAAATGCTACAAATATGGCCAAGTTAATGTTCACAATAGATTAGGCATTAAAACTGAACACAAAGAAAAAATTTTAAAAACTTGAATGTTTATCGGAAAATAAGGCAAACCCAAAATGTAAAGTACAGCAAAAAAGTGTTTTGTGCTCACAGACATGTTGCTTCTCTTTCACCATATTAACTAGAACATTAAATATGCAGGATCACTGAGGTTTTTACTGATGCATTTACAAGAATTAACTAGCCAAGCATGGGTTATTTCACACAGTGACGTTGCTGTGGGGTAGGGAGAGAGAGCAATTATACTTGTTCTAGTATACTAGCAGTGGTACTTTCAACAGAATTTACTTGTATGCTGAAAGGAGCTACAGGTACTGATGGAGATACATGTTAATAAAACCCCTAAGCGTTAATGATGTCCAGTGGAGACATGGGATTCACTTAGATCACTGTGCTGGAAGTTAACTTTGAAATGCTTTTAGGCAATACCTTCTACAACTATTTAGATGAAGCTGGATAAGGAGGTAATAAATATCAACATCATAAATACTTTGGGATTCTAATCTTCTTTGGTTTTGTACTTTCCAATTTAAGAGTCTGAAATAAATGTCAAATCAAAGGGTTCCAAAAGAAAAACATTTTGTAAGATCAAGATGTATAATAACAAGCTCACTCCAAGAATGCCATCTGTTTTCAGTCACTTTAATGTGCTTATGATACCACTGTCACTAAAACACTATAGGGTTTTGCCAAATATGCGATGCCTTAAGTTGAACAAGTTCTGTGTGCTTTGCTATTGGAAATGAGTAGCATAATAACCAGAAAAGAACTGAATGCTGGAAAATGTTTAGACATGTAAGGCAATGCGGCAGTAAAAGCTCTTACGGGATTACGTCTGGAGCTGGATACTTACGGTTAACATGGCAAACATTAGCTGGCAGACATTGAAAGCATGCCTCCAGTTGTGATACAAAACCATCCGATAATTCTTCCTAACCGTCAAAAGCCACCTACACAGCGTCTGAAATTAAAAGTACAATTTGTATCAGGGCTACTAAATGTGTACAAATGGACAGAGCAGTGCCAGAACAAAAGCAGCAGATATCCGCAGCGCAGATGGTTACCTCGTAGTCAATTTTAAATTTCTGAACCATTCCAAGTTCCATGAACATCCGCAGGGCTGCAGTAATCATGGCATCCACATCAAGTGAGAAGTCATCAAAATGGATATTGTCAATGCCAAGCTCTGACACCAGAGGGATGTTTGCTGCCTGAAAATGCCAAAGGGAAATTTCCGATTCAAAACTTCGGTCTTTTTTTCCGTGTCACTCTTACAAGAAACAATCCGTACATCAGTTCTGACCTGTCAATACATCCTCTGCTTGATTCAAATGCCGAGCAGTAAAAGTCTTCATCTGAGAAATACAAACGTGTCAAGCTAACAGAGTGTGGAAAGAGTGGGAAGGAGAAGAACCTGCTATGAGCAGAAAATATGTTCACCATCACAACTGGAGCCCAGATACAGGGCTTAGACTGAAAGCTGACCACTTTACAGCTACTGCAGTAACACAATATATTCCAATGCAAATTACAGTGCTGTAATGCAAGAAACATCTGGATAGCCAGCAGCTGGGAGTTTTAATTGCTACCATTTAGAATTGCAAAGCAAATATACTGCTCTGCAGAATTTCTTCATCCAAATGTCTTTACAACCACAAGTATACAAGTGCCCTCTGCTTTATTCTCTTCACTACACGTACATAGAACCGAAAGAAGAGCAATACAAAATATGTCTAGCAGAAGTATTTTCTAAAGTAAAATGAAAGAATTTTCAACATGCTGATTATGTAGTAAGTCAATATAGCAACAGCAAAAGCCTTACATTTTGCTGTCTATGTAACAGGGACTTTTATTCTGTTTGTAAGAGAGGAATGAGCTTCTCATGAACACACAAACATACAGACAAGTGTGCCGGACTGGCTAATGCATACAGCACCTGCGTGAGCCAGGCAGAGGTGCTGACAACCCTCACGGGCTTCCTTGCCCTTCTTTACGCCCCTTCAGACTTGCCATTCATCTCCCTAGAGAGGGCAGGTGGAGGAGGATGCATTTGCTGAAGGAGCATCTGTTCCCTGTCTCCCACAGTGAGAAGGTGATGGGTCAGGTAGAAGCCTCACAAAGGCACTAGATCCAGCCCACAGGCTATGAGCTGGACAATGCTGAATTAGTTAAAATCACATGGACTCAGCTGGTATGGCACATTCAGCTACTCACTTGCATAAAATATCAATTAGTTCATGCAACTCTAAGTTCACCTTCACAGTTACAGATTCTGCATGACCATCTTATGGCTTCCTTCTTGAAAACTTGTGTTTTGAAATAGTGCACCCTAAGTACAACAATTGCTGACATGTAAAAAGCTTCTTCTGGTTGAAGAGAAAGTGCCACTTCAATAATTACTTTATGCAGAAATTAAGATGCTTTAGCTACACTACACAAGAGAAGATGGTGTAAGCCTGTCATAAAATAGTATTAACATCGTGGGTTTAACTTATTTGCTAGCTAGAAGAAAAGTCTTTTTAGTTCAGTGCCCAGTAAAGCATGCCAGTACCACAAAAAGTCATGGCACTATACCAGTGTGTTTAACTGATATAGGAAATACAACAAACCCAGCAAGTCAAGTGTCATCCCAGGACACAGCTGAAGAACCACTGGAGCATGCAGGCAGAGATGTCAGTTCTGTTAACCGCACACTTCTTCGTCTGCTAGCATAATTATCCCGGTTGAATCAGTTCAGCATCTTTTTTTAAGGATTACTGAAAAATCTGAAATACTTCTAGATGATCCTAACAGGAGTTACACCTTAATACTCTTTAAGATTTGTCTGAAAAACTATGTATATACTTCTGAGGTAAAGAAAGAAAGAAAATATGGTTAGGTGTGAAGCAGGAAAGCTGACCTGGAGACTGTGCTGTCCAGACCTTACAAAAATTGTGACTTTTATCATTCAGTTATTCTTCAGAGCTGTGGGGGATACTCAAGATGCACAATAATATTTAGTCTATGAATACACTCACTGCATAAAAATAGACTCGCTATAAAATGTCTTTGAGGGAAGAAACACATTTTTACACCTTATACTCCTTTGTTCCTTAGTGAAAAGTTTAAATAACAAAGATTCTAAAACAGAAGCACTTGATTGTCAGCAGACCTTCTTGAAATTGTTTTATCAAAACTATCTTTACAAACCTACTGTTGCATTTTCATTAACTTTGAAGTGGGGTCTGATCAAAATTTTCACTTTTTTGGCATCTTAAAGGAAAACAGATCTTTTCCTTGCAATTTTTTACTGGAAACCAACGCTGTTACCAGCCCGTTACAATTCAAGAGGGAACACCTGAAGCAGTTGCTCAACTAAAATTGTTTTTCCATTTGTCAAACACTGGAGAAATAACAATATATTCCAAACCTATTGCAAACTGAACAACAGGATATTAATAAAACAAGTCAAACCCAATTTCTTCCCACGTCAGTCTGAAACTTTTATGTATTTATGAGGTTTTACATTCCTAAATTTATCAGGAGTGCCATAATCCAGAATAACTGCTGAATTAATAGCCAGGAGATAACAATTGTAAAAAAGAACCATTTGCTTTAAAAGAGCAATAAAGGAAACAACAGAATTATGAGTGTAGAGACTAATTTGAATAATGTTAAAAAAAATATATTGTGGGGCTGCAGCAACATTCTGGCTGCACCTGGCATTGATTACCCTCAGCTTCTTAGGCAAGAAATGCAGAAGTCTGGGTTTATAGGAGAGCAGTCATTAAAACTTCATTATTTTAATTACAGAGATATAAAAAATATTAATAATACAGAATATTAAAACATATTCACCCCTGAAATTTTGCTGTACTGCAGGAAAAATTCCAGTGGATTTCTTAAAATAAACAGCAATAACAACACTCTCTTTCAGGAGAACAGAGAGGATGAAAGTACCATGACAGCAAGAGAAAGGGGCAGGCAATTAAAATTCCAAGTTACAGTGAAATTATTTTTTAAAGCACCCCAGTGTTTTAGAATCACTTAAAAGGTTTACTTCCTTTTGAGCATTTTGAAGTTCAATTTCCCCTTTCTAAAAACAATTAAGAACATTATACCCTGAAATCTTTTTACGCTGAGAATCAAGCAATTTCAATGCTCTTCGTCCTTGAGAAAAATTCACATGACTCTTCTGTGAGCTTACAGTAAATTAAAACTGGGTGTGCTTCCTCTGGTCACATTTCCATACTCCAGTACTAAACCAAAAATTTGTCTTCAAAGGAATCGAGAACACAAGTTTGGCTGAATACACGGAAGGCAAATGGTCTTGCCTGATGAGGTGCAAACTCAGCAGCTGCCACACTGGGAAGCTATCATCACTTGTAGGCAGCTTAAACAGAGGATGTCATTCCTCCAAATGAGACCATAAACATGAGGTCTGTGTCTACTCCATACTCAGGAGTGCGTGGTTCAGGGTGGAATGAATACAGGAAGGAGGAAAAGAGCCTTTGTACTCAAATCAGATTGGAGACAGACTCTTCTTGCCCCACTGCTCTTTGCTATCATGTAAATTGTATCACAGCCTGCTCACTACATGTAAACAGGTAGGAGACAAGCAAATGCAAAAGGGCCATATGTCATTAATGAGCATTTTACTTCAAAATACATGGAACACCAAAGTGGCTTCCACCATAAAGTCACAATTCTGGCCACTACAAAAGACAGCCCATGGGAATAGAAAAATAACATTTCTGGTTCCGTATTAATACATGTTTGGGCTGCTGTGGATGAATAAAACCTAAGAAGGAAAATGTAAGGAAACTAAAGTCAAATATTTAGGGAAACTTTGAAAGGCTGAACACTTGAAAAAAAAGCTACTAGTACATCTACTAGTAGGTGTACTACTTACACCTTAGTGCTGCTGAAGACAATTATTTCACAGTTTTAGAATTATGTATAAAACATGTTCTATAGAACAGGTTCTTTATATTGTTAGCATGCAACTACATAACAAAGATAAGTATTCATTAATACTCATTTTTCTTCTCAGCAGTGTGTTTAAATGTATGTCAGAAAAATGCAGTATAATATGCACACAGACATACACAGAGTGTTTAACAACATTCTTGCTGTAAGGGTGAATAAAGTGACTGCAATCAATCAGCAGAAGCAAAAGCGGACTCTTCTGCTGTTCTTACTAAACAGATTTCCTGAATGAGACAGAGATTTTACATTCAGTTTGGTTAATGTTACTGCAAATTGCTTTCCCTTTAATCCTGCTTTCAGTTTCTGACATGCAACACACAAGTACCTTAATAATGGCCAATACTGCTATGAGAAAACATATGCAAACCATACATCAAATGTTCTCTTACATGTGAACTTCAAATCGGTTTATAGTTATAAACAGTAAAAGAACGATCCCTTGGAGATGGGTGAAAGTAAAGGGGACAAACTTCCTATCCTGAGTAACTTCCAGGTGTAATAGCTGCTATAAGCTCATGATAGGTGTCTTGCTACATTACCAGTCCTTCCAAACAGGGAAGAAACTTTATGGATTTCCCTAGTGATCCACATAGTTTTGCAACCAAACTTCCCGTGAGAGTTGAAACACTAGTTTTCACTATGTGAAAGCTATATTAAGCTAAAAACCTTCTCGTTCAGCTAGTTAGATGTATTGCCAGTGGAGACCAGTGGACAGGTCACATGCTGCCAGCATAAAAAACAGTCAGAGGGAGATAACTCCTTATGTAGGGAAAAACTGTATCATGTCAGGAATAAATACGAAATCACAATCAGGATATTTAATAACCTCCTATAGCAGAATTTGATTATGAGGCAGTCTGGGTCAGTGGTGGGAAGAGGGCAATTTTAAGGCAATAATTACATTTTGTCTCGTCTTGCTATAACACTCTTATTCAATTCTTATTTCCTACAAATTGGCACACACTGATAGACAGCTTAAGTTGTTTCTTAAATAGAAGATACCTACAGCTCAAGGGTCTGATCACAATTAACTTATTCAGCATGTTATATGAAACAGTTTTTAGATCACATTTGATAGTAAGAGCACAGAAAAAATGTGATTTCACAGATTGACAGGGAAGGCTTACTGCAGACTGGGGATGGTGTCTCTCTGCCCTTCACAATGCTGAGTTAGCACCTCTTTTCCAATGACCAACTGAAGCAGAAGCAGGACAGTAGCATTTAAAGGAAACTTTACAGTATT